ATCACAAGTAGGCAGAGAGGCAGGCAGAGAGAGAGGCGGAAGCAAGCCCCCCGCTGAGCAGAGAGCCCGATGCAGGGCTCGATCCCAGGACCCTGGGATCATGACCTGAGCTGAAGGCAGAGGCCTTAACCCACTGAGCCACCCAGGTGCCTCTCAAAGTCTGTTTCTTGAAGGCTGAATCTCGTGGGTTACCTTCAGAATCGCATGGCTTTGACTCATTCATTTATTTGAAAAATGTTTACTGAGCACCTGTTACACGCAGGCATTGTTCTTGTGTCGCGGGTGTCATGGTGAGCATCACAGACAAGGGCATGGCTTTCTTGAAGCCAATATGCTGGGAGGTTAAATGACATAAACAAAAATGCAGTCAAGTCATATAAAGAGCTGGCACGAGAATGTCCCAGCAGGAGAGGTGGGTGGGGACCAGAACCATAGAGCCTTGCAGGCCAGGGCCCAGAGTTTGGGTTTTATTCTGGGTGCAGTGAGAAGACACTGAGGGCATCGAGTGAGGCAAAGACATAATCTGGTTGATATTTTTAGATGATCACTCTGGCGGCTTGGAGCCCGGGAAACCTCCTAGGGACGAAAGCAGTGCTGTGCAGATAGAAAAGGATAACTTTGAAGTCCGTTCTGGAAAAGTAACTGACAGAATTTGATGATGGGCCACATTGGAAAAGAGAGGGGTCAACATTTAGGATTAGTTAGCAGGGCAGAAAAAGCAGCAGAGGATGACAACATGGAAGCCAAGACAGCAGAGCCTTGAGTAGACCCGGTCAAATGCCAAGAGGCTGAGTGAGAGGAGAAAAGAGAAGAAGCCCCTAGATTTGCTATCATAGTCTGTAACTGACCTTGACAATCCCCATCTCAGATGGGTCTTGAGATTTTTTTTTTCCCAAGTGCGGGTGACTTCATTTTTACATCCCTGATAGACCTCTTTTTAGGCTGACAGAGCCCCAAGTATTCTGTCTGCATTTGTGCTGAGGTCAGCTGCCACCCAGTCAAATTGTCAGGTGGTTCCTCTGCCCCCGGCATCCCCATGTTCTATGGGACTGATTACTGTGCAGCAGGGTCACCTGCAGACACCAGCGGATGAGCCGTATGCATCCCTGAGTCCCGGCGTGGAGCATATTTTCTGGACTTGGTATGCAGTCAGGTAGAAGGAAGGACTCCTCTGATCCCAGTTAGGGTGCCCTTGGCGCCCTCCACTTCACCAGCATTTGCATACGTCAGGGCTATTGGAAGTGCCTGCTGACTTTCCGTCCCATCTCTCTCCCTCTCTTTCTCTCCCTCTCTCTGTCTCTGTCATACACACACACACACACACACACACACACACACACACACCAGACCAGGAGTAGTTCCAAGGAGCCAGGACCCCTGTCATCACCTGCATTTTATTACCTGCATTATATTACCTGCGTTAATGATGATGCTGGATACACAGTTGCTGCTCAGTATATGTCTTTGAAAATGAAGGGAGAAGAGAGGGAGGAAGCAAACAATGAAGGAAAATTGGCTTGCTGTTTGTGAAGAAGCCAGATTCCACATGTAAACGAATACATTCATTTAGAAGACACCACTCCTTGAAGGAGAGTGACCAGCTCTGTTCCAATACGGTTGGAGAGGCGGCATCCGGGGAAACGTCCTTCCTCGCGGGCGGCTTGGGAGGCTGTTGCTTTGATCCTTGACCACAGCTGATTTCTGGAGGGCTCGCCCCGTAACATGACCCCTGGCTTCTGACTCATCACTGGCTTGTCCCCGCTGTGCGGCTACCCTGCTCCATTCCTCGGAGCTGTATCAACCAAGGAAAATCAGGGGAACAGGCATCGCTTTATTTAAATCCGAGGAAAGAATGTGGCCAGCACAGATTCAAAAGGTCATTTTGCAATCTTCTGCATCCCAAGCCATGAGGAGGGCAGCACTTCGCAGGCAGCGGTCCCTCCCTGGTGTGGCGAACCGTACTGTGAAATCTAGAGCTGCGGCTGGACGCGGGTGGGCGCACGCACACCGGGGGACCTGTGCCCAGATCCCTCCGAAGGTTCGCGGCTGCTCTCCGAGGATTAAAGTGATCTGAGGTCTTGGAGTGAAACACAGGAATATCTCTTTCACTGTGGAGTCTAATCACCGAGTTTATCTTAATTCAGCCACAGACACGGGGTAACTATCATGGTCGTCATCAGGCACTTCTGTTTCCAATAACGTGACCCCAGACACAAACCCACTTCATCTGGTGCCGGAGCGGAGAAACAGATTTTTTTCTTTTTCTCCCCCACCAACCCTGGAGGAGAAACTGGCCATAGAGAGAGTCCATGATCCCCAAACCCTGGGCGCTGTGCTTTCTAACAGAAGGGCATTTGAGGGCGTGGGGATTATACACCATTTTTGCCTCACAGTCGGATGCAGGACCCCTGCTGCTGTCGAAGCTCGAAGTCTGCTGAGCGCTTGTCCTCTTAGAAGGGTCTCTGGAGTTCACGTTCAAGGGGCTGGTTCTTAGTGCACAGCAGGGGTCACTGAGAGCGTCCCATACGAGGAAGCCCTGTATAGGTTCACCTCGGGGATGTGAAGGAAGGTTCCAGGCCCTCTTGTTTCTTAAAGTCAAAGCCCTTCTCCCCTCGTGTGTACACTGACTGTGGCAGGTTTCTTGTTCCCTCCTCTGGAGGAAGGTGCTGTTAAATTGTCATGGCTTCTTAGCAGTTAGTGGCTTCCTGGGATCCAGGGAATCCTGCAGCTCGGGGAGGGCTGCACCGAGCCAGGCCCCTTGGAAAACTGGGCATAAGTTAGGCAAAGCAGAAGACTGGAGAGATAAGTGGTCTGGGGGCAGTAACGACTGGGAGCGAGCAAACTGTTCCACGACGATGAATCCTGCTTCGTGTTCAATGAATAATAATAACTTTCTTTCCGGAGAAAGTTCCCTTTGCTTTACAAAACCGCAGCTGTCGATCTCTGTCCAAGGTGTGGCCTCTGGCAAACCCTGTGATTTGCTTGTCTGTGAGTGTTGTCTATGCTTTGCTTTTCTCCCCCAGGAATCACTTCTTCAGATTCCTGAGCCTCCTGCAGAGGTGCGTGCGGCGGCATCCATGCTGGGTCCATGCTCTCCACCCAACTGCACTTGACTCTTTTTGGCAAGTGCCTGCCTCCAGCAGGGGTGCACCGCCTCTGTCCCCATCAGCAAGGTCACACTGACCCAGGCCCCGACTGACGCCCTTGCTCCGTGACCCACACTACTGTCAGCTCTGGGTGTCCGCTTGTTGGTGGCACGATGTCCAGAGATATAGGTGATCAGGCTACCATGTGTTTAAGAAGCAGGGCCTGGATGGCAGGTGCTTTCAGAATCCCAGCCCTGCTTTCCCAGCTGTGCTGTCGGATCCTTACCACTGGTGACACTCATCGTGGGAGCTGGTAGTAGGGCACCTCTGCCCTTAGGACAAACCTGGGCCTCAGCTACTCTTCAGAGAAGGGGGAGCAGTGGTGGTGGTAGTGGGTTTGCCGTTGCTGCGAGGAGCCGGGAGACCCGCGGGGAGGCCTGGAGGTGGAGGGGTTGCCCCATCAAGCTGGCCCGCCCGGTGGCCGGGAGACATTTGTGCCCCAGGAAACCACCAGCCTGTTTTAACCACAGCAGGTGCACCAGGCACAGTCAGAAGAGCTGCATCCCCTCTCTTTTATCTTCCATCTTTCTGCCTGCTGCCTCCACTCACCCACAGAACTTACAGACCCGTTAGTAATTCGGTTTGGACCACATTGCCCTGATCCTGCGTACCATCCATTTTCCATGGTTGGGCGGTTTTCTTTTTAATATTTGTCCCCTCTGGGACGTGTGGGTGGCTCAGTCAGTTAAGTGGCGGCCTTTGGCTCGGGTCATGATCCCAGCGTCCTGGAATCGAGTCCCACATCAGGCTCCTTACTCGGCGGGGAGCCTGCTTCTCCCTCTGCCTCTGCCGCCACTCTGCCTGCATGTGCTCGCTCACAGTCTCTCTTTCCCTCTGACAGATAAATAAATGAAATCTTATTAAAAATATATATATATTTGTCCCCTCCATCAGCTAGCTCTGGAACTGAATTGGGTCGGCAATGCAGTCCAGGGGACGGAGCATCTGCCTGGTTGGGGTTTTGTCTTGAGGGAGTTCTTGGGCGAGACCCTTCCTCCCCGCAGGATAACCGAACCTGTATTTTTCCTGGGCTTCTCCTTTGCAGCCTTCCCAGATCATTTTTCAGCAGGGTTGGCCGTGGAAAAGAATGAACAGGAGGCCCCATACACTCTGTTACCTGCAGTGTTTGCTCGATTCCAGGACACTGTTCATTGTCAGATGCCACATCAACTGGATAGCCCCTTCCCCCAGGTGCCAGTGGTACTTCCAGAACAGTCTCTCCAACCAGCCCACATCAGTGAGCGGAGGGAGATGGGCGTAGAGTGGGGAGAGCCGGCACAGCCTGGGGAATGAGCCAGGAGCAGCTTCCAGGCTTACACACTGGGTCATAATTAACCCACTCACATCCCTCTTTTCTTCCAGGACTCCTGTACTTCACCTTCCTCCTGGTGTAGAATTAAGTTCAAAGCACAAAAGAATGAAGTTATCATAGCTCAGGGAGTTTCCTGTTTCTGGTGATAGCCCCTGACAAATGTCATGTAAATTAACGTGGTCCCATAGCAACTCGGCCACACATAGAAGAAGAAAAAAAAAATCACACAACCACCAAGTGGTAATTTAGGAGTGTGGTTTTAGTTTTCAGATGTAAGAATAGTTGGGGGAGGCCTTACTGTTGTTTTATTTTTGATTTCTGGTTTAGTTTACGATGGACAGAGAATGTCAGCTCTAAGTTGTCCGTTTTAGAACTTATGATATTTCCTTTGTGACTAGTTAGCATGCGATCATTTTTTTTAATGTGTCATGTGTGATTAGAAAATGTGTTTACCCTCTCTTTTGTATGCAAGTTTCCCTCTATTTATTATTTTGTTCAAATCTTGTATATCCTGAGCATTTTTGTCTGCTTGGTCTGTGATTTCTGAGAAAGGGTTTTGTTTTTTGTTTTTTTTTAAAGATTTTATTTATTTATTTGATAGAGAAAGAGAGTGTGTAGGCATGAGCAGTGGGAGGGGCAGAGGGAGAGGGAGAAGCAGACTCTATGTGAACAGGGAGCTCAATGAGGGGCTTGATCCCAGGACACCAAGATCATGATTTGAGCAGAAGGCAGACAACTGACTGAGCCACTGAGGCATCCCTCTGAGAAAAGGGTCTTAAGTCTCCTATGATGGTTATAAGTATGTCAGGCTCTCCTGGAACTCGGATAGCTTTTGATTTATAGTTTTGAGACTGTGCTGTTGGGTGCATATAAGTTTATGACACGTGTCTTTTTAATGGTAGAGTCTTCGTCTCATTAACTTTCCTCTTAGGTCCTATTTTATCTGATTAACTTATCCAGTTTTCTTTTGGTGAATAAATGTTTGTCTTGTCTCTTTCCAATCTTTTATTTTAAATTCTTTTATTTTTTAAGATTTTATTTGTTTATGATAGACGGCAAGAGAGGGGACACAAGCAGGGGGAATGGGAGAGGGAGAAGCAGACTTCCCGCAGAGGAGGGAGCCCAGTGTGGGGCTCCATCCCAGGACCCTGGATCATGACCTGAGCCAAAGGCAGACGCTTAATGACTGAGCCACCCAGGCATCCCTATTTTCAACTCTTTTGTGTTCTCTTGTCTTGGGTTCCTCTCTTGTAAACAGTATATAGCTAGCTTTTGTGAAAGTCCAAACTGATAGTGCCTTTTAATAGGTAAGTTTGATCCATTTACATTTATTGTGATTACTTTATATATTTGGACTTATTTCTGTCTTTTAATTTGTGTTTCTGTGTACCTTGCTTCCTGTTTGCTTCTTTGTTCTCCTTTCCTATCTTCCATTAGATTAGCCAAGTTTTCTTAACCTTCTTCCCATTTTTTTCTCTGCTAGTTTGGCCAGAATAGATTTTATTTTATCTATAAAAAAATCTATCTATCTATCTATCTATTTATTTATTTATGTGGTGATTCCCATTAAGTTTTTAACATGCATACTGAACAATAATTTTTTTCCTAGTAAAGGCTATAATTATCCGGGATTTCAGTGTTCTCAAACAACACAAAGACCTTTGTACACTTTTCTCTTAACTTAAAATCAACTGGTAATTACAATAAAGAGTTGAAATCCTGGCCCAAAACATTGCCATGCATTCTCAGCCTACTAACTCACAGGCAGATTAGAAGCACCCTTTTTGATTTCTAAAGCATGAACTTTTGGCTAATTCACTCCACTTTACACCCTGGGGTGCTCTTGGACATCTGTCTAATTCAGAGTGATACATTCATTTCCAGTCTTTAAAAAAAAATCTGTCAAAGTTCCTGAAAACATTCTGAAGTAGGAATGGACAAAAGAGAATTCAGAACCCTATGGTGTACTGCTAGGCCCCGTTCCCATACGTCCTGTTCGTCATGTGTAAGATTTTTAGTGAGAAAATGAAGGGGTCCCTCCCTGCTTACTCCTGCTTTCTTATCCCATGATTCCCAAACTTTAGTGTGCATTTGAATCCCCCAGGTGTTTGCTAAATGCTAAATTGCTAACATGCAGATTCTGATTAAGTATGTCTGTGTTTCTGATGCCCTTCCAGGTGATGCTGGTGCTTTCAGTCCGTAGACCACATTTGAGAAAACAAGTGCTTGGAGAATAAAATTTAGCTAGGAAAGTCGGGGCTTCAGTCCTAGGTCAGGGTTCCATGACACCTCACAGACCAGCAGATAGCAGAAGAAACACGCTCTTCGAAGTGTTGAGGAGTTCGGGATCATTCAGAGTCTGAAGGTCTCCTTAAAACCTTCAGGTCTGGCAGAGCCCAGCGTCAGTGCTCATTCTGCACACCGTGAGTCCCTCTCACCCCTGTGGGCTCTGTCTGCCTCCCCTCTGGAGGTCAGCACAGCACGTGCTTCAGGTAGACGTGACTCTGTGAGTCCGTGCCCCAAGAAAGAGCCTGCCTGGGGCCGGGGGCAGGTTTCCTGGTAATTTATGTTTAAGACAAGCTTTTGATAGAACTACACTTTTAAATAGTAACCAGGAAAAAGATTCTCTCTTTTTAACGGGGAGCCATTTATAGGACTCAGCTGTTGAGGCTCAAGGGTAGCATTAGGCTTAAGTTTAATCTTCTGTACGCCGTAATTTACAGCACTGAGTAAAGCATTGTACGTACAACGATTTCAGTCATTTGCTGTGATAAATAGCTGTCGCTCTTGGCGGAACAGAACCACCGTCTCTGCTTTCCACTTATGAATATTGAATGGTCTCAGGCAGGCTTTGGCTATAAGTTTTTAAAGGGGAAATCCCCGCCAATCACAACTCCTCACTAGCCCCAAGTGTGATTTCCCTGCTCCCTGCACCCACCAGCCCTTGATCCGGACGGTGGTTCTGCACCACGCGTGTCCTGGGGAATATCGCACAGGGCCCTTCTGACGGTCCCTACTGCAAGCCCTGCAGTTTTGCACCACACATCCCCCTGGTAGTTTGGTAGATTTAACTAGTGGCAGGAAGCCAGTGACAGAGGTCAGGGAAAGAGCTTAAAGGTGATCATCTGACGGAGCAGAAATTCTGTTTGATGCCTCACAGCGAGAGGATGGTGTCAGCTCGGGAAATGGAAACAAATGGGGGCCAAGGGGGAAAAGAAAACGTCAAGATTCTAAATCTCTAGGGATCCACTCTTTAGGAGCTCGGAGAAACACGTGCCTTCCACCAGACTTCCCTTAGTTCAGAGACTTTGTTCCCTGC